ACCACTCTAAATATCCTTCAGTAATAGGCACAGAGAGAATTGGTTTTGGGGGGAAAAAAAAAAAAAGGCTTCTCAGATGTCTTTTTCTCAGGTAATTCTCTCAGTGTGACTTTAAAAGTCAGAATGTCTTGTGTGTGTTACGTCACGTTAAATTTCAACGCAGGACCATTCACTCAAAAAAAGCAGCTACAAGCAAGAAAACAGTAAGTGGTTTCGTTCAAAGTTATCTCTTCTAGTAGTCATCAGGGCAGTCATAAATATACAAGACATTTGCTTGCAAAATTATGTGAAAACCAAAAGTCTAATAAACAGGAGTGTTCCTAACCATGGTCAGAAGATGGCATTAAAGGCTCTCATCAGCCCAAAACGCATCTATTTTTGACAATGGATAGTGGTGGCTTTGACACAGCACACTACAACTGTCTGTAAAAAACAGAAAGATGCCTTTGTCCATCACAGCGTTTCTCAGGGGGGTGTCAAAGGTACTATCACAACACTGCACAGCACTATTACTTTTAAAATAATTTTTGTGAATTTTAAGAACATGTGAGCATTATACCATTAAGAGAAGCACAAGGGGTCACTGCTCTGCGACTGCAGTTCCTATAACCATTTGGAAAGTAGAAGATTACCAAATTGTGTCATAGATCAAATTTTCAGACTTTCTGGACTAAATTTAAATACGTTATCCTGAAGATAAATGCTTTCTATCAGACCATCAATCCCTGAAGCAGTATAAGGTTTAGGTGAAAAATTCAGTATATAATTAAAGGATCCAATGTCATAGCTCTGAATTATGAGCTGTGCTTACAGCTCCTTTTAAATCTGGTCTGGTAAGTTACATCCTATATTTTAGACATTGATGCTGATCGTGAATAAAATGTCTTCAAAAATATGTTGCCTTCAGCATACTTTCACCTTTCAGATTAATTTATCTGCTACGAGAAAAATTTCCCCATAATATATGAAATTCAGTTACATAACATTAAAAAAAGATGCAAGCCAGTCATGTTCAGGAGAACTGGAAGATAATAGTGAAACCCCACTTTAAGAGACAGACCTTTTATCAGCTGGTGAAAGTCACGAATATGAAGGAACGGAGCACAGCTGCGCAGGCAGGGTAACATTAGCCTACTTTATTTCGATCTGCCAAGCTTCCGCAAATACAAGTGCCGCCTGTCCAGGGAACCATCTTTCTTACAGATTTGCCAAATCTAGACTTTGTAGATTGGGTCTGAACCATTGTCTTGCCCATTTATCAGTAGGAAGCCTTCAGTAAACGGCAAGGGTGATTACAATTCTACAACACATGGGTTCGTGAAAAAAAAAAAAAAGAAAAAAAATTCTTTTCAAGTTAGGTAGCCTTTTCTGGGATTAAAACTATCACAACATAAGCAATATCCTTGTTGACTTTCCCAATGAGGACTCTCACAGCTGTTCCAAAAAACAGTGACATAAAATTGTGGGTCAATTCTTTATCTTCCTTTAAAGTGACAGGTGGTGAATACCAGAAACTTTCTTCATTTCATGCCAGTGATGGTAGTCAATTGTTTCTGGAGACCTACACTCAAGAAAGACATGTCAGATTGTAGCTAGTTTGAAGCTACATGTTAAGACTGATCAGCTGGCTCCTGCCAGAAAGTGAGAGTCTCTGTCTTTCTCTTAAGTGCAAGTATTCTTAAGGTCTCTCTCTTCTCCTCAAATTCTCTCAAAAACATGGTTGACAATTAATATTCTTTTGCCTGCTGCCAAATCCGGCCAGATGTGGCTGGCACATTCAAAATAGCATATCCCTTCTCAGGAATGCAGACAGACGGTGATCACATAACCTGTGTTTCCTTAGGGAATTGGGAACTGTGGAAAATAGCTGGAGTTACACTTACCTTTTTCAAATGTCTCTTGTTGCAGATAGTCGTCTGAAAGAAGGATAAAGTAGTTGAAATTCTTACTCATATTACAGTACCCAAATGCTGCAAAAGCAGAAACCCCCCAGGAAATTCTAGATTGCATCTGAGAAGGGAAGACTATATAAAGAGATGCCCAAAGTGCGGCCAACTCGACAGAAGTCTATCCTTCCCAACCCAAACCAGCTCCAGGAAAGACAGCAGGGAATGCAACCAACTGCCTCTGTCCTCCTTCCCCACAGAGGCTGCTAAGGTCACTCAAGAGAACGATAACACGATGGGCATGTTTGAGCAAGGCCACAAGATGGACCTGGTGTGGACAACCGGGGTGGGCTGCCCCACAGATTGTTATTCAAGACAATGCAACAAGCAGTGTGCACAAAATTTGATATACGAAATATTTAGAAGCAGAAATATAGAAATGACTGTGATTTTGGTGCAGTATTTATTCTGGTACCTACTTCTGCCTGTTAATGACAAAGGCAAACTAGGTTATCTATGCTTCTAATGTAGACACCGTTTTTAGTTAGCTTCATTACTCTAGGTAATCAATTGCAAATTGAAACAGAATAGAGCTAAAATCTCCATTTCAGTTTATTTCCAATTTTAGTTGCATTTTTGTTAGACTGACATTTTACTTTCCTTGAAGTCTTGGATCCTGAAATCTTTTCACTTGTACTTATAGTCCATGTACCATAAAACCACGTACGTTTAAATATGCAATCCAACGCAAACTGAAAATCTGATGGCATATAAAAGAAATTCCAGATTCACCATTTTTTTACCTTTCTAGATATTAGGAGGCTTCACAAATATTTCCGCATTAACAGCACTGATTAGTAATAAATTTGGGTAAAAACATGGCATGGTTTATATTCCCTAAAGATCTTCACGGAAAAGTTTTATGACAATGTACTAAGGAACTACTACAAGCTGTCTACCAACAAGTGGCTCAAAAAAAAAAATAAAAAATCACTTCTACCATCACAAGTCCAGCCTCCATATGACTCTACTGGAGTGCATTTGTGACTTTCCCTTTTTACCCAAGAATTATTACCCTGAGTCAAAAATCACACGCACATTTTGGAACTCTACTATAGCTTTATTATTTACAGAAGTATCTATTCTCCACAAGACACTTCATATAATTTGCGTAATGCATTTATTTCTTTCTGATAATTTTTGTTTACTGTAACATGAACGTGAAATTGAGAACTTGTATTTTTCTTCACAACTCAGTTAAAATTTACTGAAGATCAAAATCATTAGTCTCATCCTTAGTTCATAAATATAACTGCATTAATATTTAACAGATTGTAAAGACTTTTTTTTTTCTTTTTGCATTTTAACAGTCACGGTCTAGATCATAAAATCTAGAAATAAACAGCGACTCATCTTTTCAGACTGTAAACACTACTGCATATAAAACACCAGGGACCAATAGTAAAAGCTACACCATTCTCTACGTACCTCTCTTACCGCATTACCTTTGTCATTATTAGATGAACACATTGCGTTAAATTGGTACCACAAAGAAGATTGTTAATCTACCAAACAACAGTGATGAAGGCTGAAAGCTAAGAGCATAATCAACACTCCTGTTGATATAGGAAACTTAAAAACTTTCTACAGCTTTTTTGGGTTATTAATTTTCTAGCATTTTTAATGACCAAGCAGACAGAGCAGCACATGAGGACTGAGAACACATTTCCTAAATAAGAGGATTTTGTGTCCAGCCAAAGGCCTACGCAAGCTTTTGCACAGCTGGTAAATCTGACAGAAAACTGAAACTACAGATGAAGAAATACTTATTCCAAAACATAATCCATTTTAGCTACGATTAGTGTTATTTAAAAATTACCTAGAATTGGTTTCCTGCCCAAAGAGTACAGACTGCTTGCTCTCTCTTCCAGACATACTTGATGCCAAATCTGGTGTAGACTCCTTTCATAGGAAAGCTTGTCAGAAATGTAAGTCAAATTGCTAGAAAAATATTTGCAGTTAGAATTCAACTTCAAAGACTCGGTTCAAAGACTTCTGGTACAAAATACAAAGGAAAACCAAGAAAAAAATGTATGAAAATGAGAAGTAAACCTCTCTGAAGCTTTATACTGACTGCCAGTGTTAGTCAGAGACTAACACACAGCAGATCTTTAAATTTTACCTGCAGTTTCAATTCCACAATTAGAGAGTTTCAGTAGTTAAGAGTACAAATCAGAAATGGAAATCTAAGTTGAATTTTTTAAAAGCATCCTATTTTCTATGTGTAAGAACTTCTGAACACTGAACTGTGGCAGACAAAAATGTATTCATCACACTCAGAAAAGATATGTGGGTACTAAAAGATCAAATGAGGACTGTTATTACAAATAAATATAAAATACAGCAGAAACAATAGAATATAATAATTTTACATTAGGGATTACTATTACCAACCATTTTAAGAAATGTTTTTATTTACATTTTCAGAGATATTACAACTCAAATTTATACTAGAAATTCATACAAAGCAGGATAAAATACTAGATATTACATAAATACAGGAAAAGATCAAACAAGCACAAAGACATTCTGAAATCAAAACAACAACAAAAAATTTCTCATTCAACACATCTAGTTATGTTCAATCAAAATTTGGTTTTAATCATTAAATCTGTAATTATCTCAAAAGATAAGTTGACAAGATACCTGTCTGTTACTTATCAACCTTCAAATAAATAAATGAATTTATAAAACTCTCTGAAGAGTCAAATGTAACCAAGATTCATACCTACAAGGAAAGGTTGGTATTTCTGACCTGTGTACTCAAGGGATCCAATTCCTTTGATTGCATGAGTCATTTAGAACAGCAGCATTATTTCACTTCTTTAAAAAGTACTGAAGAAAGCTATTTAGCATATTACTCGATTTTTAATTTCCCTGTTTATGAATGAGGGAAATATCAATGAGATTCCACTTGATACAGAGTAACTTATACAGTACTGAGGTTCTGCTTAATTTATCTATAAAAAAACAGTAAAAAAAATTTCCAAATTTCAAGTAACATAGGAAGTTGGTATAAATTATACAGAACAATAATCGGATTGAAAGATAGTGCTAGTGACTTGTGCTTAGACTGGAGGTAACTCCAGAGTTACTCCTTGACAATCCCAAATTCAACAGAATTGAATTGAGGTTTATACAGAGGAAAGCATGATCTGGATTTGTAGTCCTATGTAGCTCTTGGATCATATGGTGAAGAGTAAACAATTCAAACATCTTCTTATTGCTTCTGCAAAAGATTTTACATAAAATAATTGTCAATTGAGAGGTTTCATCTAAACACTAAAGATTCCACAGAAAAATATTTTTTTAATGAAGGAAAATGTGCATTATATTGGGAATTTCACATAATTCTTCTATGTTGCATACAATGTCTCTAAGCAGAAGGTTACCAATGCATGGTGAGAAAAATCTTGGCAAAAAATCACCAAAAACTGTAATTTGACTTGAGTATGTAGTATTTACTTGTAGTATAGTGAAAGCTCAAGGAAAGGCTATAGCAGGGTTTCACTAATGTGAAATAAGATTCCAGAAACAATAAATAAAAAAATTTAAATAATTTGGATTTCTGAGCAAATTTTACTTTTAGTATATTTCCAATGTAAGTTATGATTTACATTAGATTACAGGAAAACGTATTTTTTCCTAGAGTTCAATTTTGTTCCAAATAAAGTAAAATGAAAACCTCAGTTTTCTCAACAACTTTAAGTCTAATGTACAAAATGGCTCAGTTTACATTTTAGATACCTGCTTTTATAAATGAAACAATCCCATCAAGTAATGCACCAATGGAGCGCAGCAGCACATTACTACTGACACGATGAAGACCTTTGTTTACTACAAGCTAATAGCCAGTAAGCAAGGGGAACATATTTTACAAAGATTAACATTCCCAAAAGTGTTTAAATGGCTCAAGACTTTAAATTTTGTTTTTGAAGGAAATGAAAATGGATGAAACCTGAATGCAAGTCACAGATGAGACTAAATTTTCAAAGGAGATTATTTCCAAGTACCTGAGTAAAACTGAAGGTCAAGGGGAAAAAAAAAGAAGGGTTCTCTTCCAAGCATTCTTGTCATCTGCATACATAACAACTATTTCCTCTTTAAGCTAGGTTTTTTGGTGGTGGTTTTTTTTTGCTTGTATTCTGTAAACTGAACTGGATCTATAAGCAAACTGAGACTCGTCTTACACATCTGTGACACAAACGGTTTAAATTTAACTGCTAACAGAGCATAGCATTGTCTATGGTACAGCAAATCAGCAGCAAAATAGAAATGAGTTTTTGAAAAAGGAGAAAGATAAAGGTCTCCAAGTTTGCTGATCTAATAATAACTAACAGAACAACAGTAGTAAAGGATTACTTTATTCTGGAGAGTTTTTGCAGTATAGCACAGAGCTTTTCCAAAATCGGAATATCTAGCTTGGAACTTCGAAGCAACACAGAGCAAGTACGGAAGAAGGATTCATTACTGCAGGCTTCCAGGAAAGGCTGTGAGGAATCTGTAAAAGAAAATAATTAAAAAATGTATCACAGAGCTCAGGGCAGGAAAAAGTAAAACAGCTATTGATACCTTTAGAGGGCTTTAAGTACCTCATGTTGTTCAACTATTAGAACACTGAAATAATTCAGTTTATGCTGGGGATGTGATGCAAAACCCAGGTAAAACTAGGAACTGAAAAAAATGCAAGTTCCTAAGTGTTCTGACATTACAAACTCTTGTTTTAAAACAAGGCCTATTGCCTTGAGCACAAAGGAAAACAGGAAACAGAACAATTTTAAACTCAAATAAAAATTCTTATCGTGAACCTGTTTATTCAATGCTCATTTATCATGGTTCTTTCCTTTTGATCATGTGAGGGGGACATTAAGCCATGCAAACAGACTCACAAGGAAATATTTTAAGCAGCTGCAAATCACATGGACAGGGATAGCACATGCAGAAGCTAATGTGATGCCTGGCAGCCTTTCATTATCAAAATACTGTCACTGTTTCAAGACAAGCAAAATAATAATCCAGAGGTAAAAGTAAGAGCTGGATAAGAATGCTTAAATACCAACAAAACTCCCTTAAAATAGTGCATGAATTTTTAAGTCACATTGTATAACATTTCCCTCCATCCTGTTCTGCAAAATCTAATCACTTCAGAATAAGGTGAAATCCGTTCCCTCATTATCTCTTTCTTGGTTCTGATATTACAAATTAATTTACAGCAAAACCATAAATACAAGTAAGAATTGATTTTTTTTTTGTAAATGAATAGTCTTTCATATAGCATAGGGTGTTTGCATTAGAAGAATAAAGATGTGAGGAAAATATTATGATGTTTACATAATGTTAAAAGTATTTATTAATGTGTTATACCTAATAAGAAACTGCAATATGCAAATTACAGCATAAACCAATAAACACAGACATTAAAAAAATTCTTCCCACATACGCTGAATACTGTGATTTATAAATAGGATGTCAAGATCATTTTAGCAGTTCAAAGAGGACTGGATCTATCTTTTTGGTCAGAATTTTCCCTTTCCTTGTCCAAGGACATACAACTTATTAAATATAACAAGTAGCCTTGGAGTGAATTCAAGGTTTTAATTTATTTCAGGAAGCTTACTGATACAAAATCAGCAGAAATGCTACAGAAAACTGTTTGGAATAGGGCTTTAAAAAAAAAAAAAATCAACTAAAGCCAGGTTGAGAGCCTAGACAACTCATTTTCTCAGAGCTGGGCATTTATACCGAACAAGGACCTCGTAATTCCTAGACCTTACTGTTAGGAAGAAGATCTTTAAAAAAACTGTATTTTTTGCAAAACAACAGCATGTCATTGGCTACAGGAACAAATGACCCAGTTTCACCCCACCTCCCGATGCTGAGTACATCTCATCATGCATTATACTATACAGTGAAGTCAACAAGACATGTGGGTCTTTACTGGTTTACACCATCAGATGAAGAGACCAAGAAACAGCAAATGCCTTTAGCACAGATCAGAGAAGCTACAGCTGCATGTAATCTTTCCTCCCTTTTCAGTGGAGGTGCTTTTGGCAAAATTGACTTAAAATTGACGTAAAAGGACGGATTTAACAGTCAGAATCCACAAAATATATAATGGAATGCGCAGATGGAAACTATACAGATGCAGGTAGCAAGAGGCCATCATTGCACCAACAAAAAGCAAGATGACAACTGATGTTCTATGAAGCTTGGAAAAAGCAGGCAAATGTTTTGTGGTTTGCACAGCTGAAGTGTCCTCTGTTCTTTACCCAAAGCAACACAAAATAATGATTATTCCAAGAGACATTAATTATCAGGCAATAAATGTTTATAGATCGATTTATTTTTCTGTTTATTTCTACTTTCATGTTTCTTGCATTCTTTCTACTGTATTCAATCCACCTGTGGTTGTATGAGTATTCTTCTCTCACTTTTAGTACTATTTCCAGTTACAATGTGCTGTCTCAAAATTGTAACAGCAATAAATATAAAACCAGAATGAAACTAAAGTAGAAATATAAGCAGTAATCAGTAAAAACTATACTAAAAAATAAGTACATACATATTTTTATTCTGTCAGTAAAGATACTATTTCTCATTTTAATTTAGCTTATGGTCTTCAATTAAGGATAGAATGCTTTAACTGAAGTGATATGTTAAGTACCACTGACAGATTCTAAGTCAAGGAAAACATCACCGATACTGGAATAGTGAACTGTGACTGCATTTCTATAGACCTGCAGATACCACAACATATCAAAAGCAAATTAATTGAAGAGTGGAAGTTACAAGAGAATTGCTAAAAGGAACAAAGAAAATAGCACAGCCTCCTTAAGATGAAAAATGAGGTTCATGCTGAAGAAATACATTTTATATGTGTGCATAAATACATATTTATATAAAATAGATAAAGAAACCATTTACCATATATGTTTGAATTGACCTGAAAATGCTTTTTTAATCAAATATCACAAGGGACCAGTAGAATGATTTCACACACCAAAAAGAAAAAAAAAAAAAAGATGAGAAGAATATATTTTCTAAGGAAAATTAGAGATTATTCTAACGTACAACTCAATAGGTAACACAACTGAACAAATCTGTCAGGAATCTAACAACAGAAGTGACTATTGACTGCATTCTGCCCTTGGCACATACAACACAATCCCCAAGACGTAGTTACTCAGGGCATTCCAATTCCAGTATTTCTTTTAATATTCTTTTAATATTTCTCTAGTTTTGCTGAAGAAGGTATTATTTTTCAGAAATTGTGATGTCAAAAACTCAGGGCTGTCAATTACAGCAAGCAGAAAATCCTTAGCACATACTGCTAACCCGTCTAAATTTAGTGATACATGACTGACATACACTCAAGATTCAGCACTCTTTATTGAGCCACTGCTCCCTATGACAGAACTTTGAAGTTATTAAATACATATCAGCAGTGTATTAAACCTGGAAAATATCATTAACCCAGAATTCACTTCTAGTATGGTGGTGTCATGCTCTGGTGAGTCTAAGTTGTTAAAACCCATGAGAAGAGGCAACAAAACCACAAACGGAAATAGCAAATAAGCAAAACCCAATGTATACAATCCTCCCATCTTAAGAGCACTTTGTATCAAAACATTTCTATCACTTGAGTGTTTGAAGTAAACGTTTCTTTACAGATAGCAAAAACAGATCACCTTCTGTAAAGCAAGAAAAATCTAGGACTAAAATTATGTTATCACTTGAGAACTACAACTTTATAGAAATTCTTCTACAATTTGCTAGAGTTCCTACAATGACTGCCTATTCCCAAGAAACAGAAACAGTCCCATCAATCTGCCCAGCACCACTGATGCAGTCTGTTTTAACAAAAAAAACCTTGAACAGTATCTCTTACTGTGAGAAACACTCGCTCACAGATAAAAATGTAAAGAGGACAAAGTCTTCGAAGCAAAGATAAAAATTTATTCACGATCAAAATAAACGAGTCAGCTGAGTCGGGTGCATCTCAAAAAGGGCACACTTAGTTACAAAACTTCAGGTATTTATGCCCTCCCCCAATTGCCCAGGGAGGAGGGCATAAATACCATAAAAACCTTTTCCCATTGGTTTGGTACTTTAGGGTGCACATTCTTTCACGACCGGTTAGCCTATCACAAACTCGATTCACATTTTTCTCCCTTTAAGAGGTTGTTTTTAAGTTACATAGCTCTGCTCGTGTCGTCGACATACAAAATGGCTGAAGCAAAGTAATCCCTCAGTTCATCTCTCACACTTACCAAAGATGTTTATCAGAAAGGTAAGAAAAGTGTAAATAAATGTGTGAGAACAATGATATCAAGAAGTAAATTGAGAAGAAAGGTTTTTCCTTCTTCTATTGCCTGTTGAAACAACAAATAGCTTTAGAAACCTCTCATTTAACATGACTTCCGAGTCAGCTAAACTCTGATTCATAAGAGATCTGAAGGTAACAAGACTGCTGAGATGAAGAGGGTGGGTCCTATAATTTATTCCTATAAATAGCCCTAAGTAGCCATAAAATGCTTTACATTCCTTTTCTGCAGGGGTAAACAAACACCATATTCAACTGACCTGGACATTTCTTTGCTGCCTTGCCTCTTACTGGTTCTTTAAAAATATTTAATTAAAAAAACCCAACACACACACACACACACATATATATGTTTTGACTGTGAAGTTTACAAACCAATATAAAATATATGCATTACTTTTAAGATAAAGATTTTTATTATAAAACAGAAGAGCCAAAGTGGAAATAATTTCTAAAGTTTCACAAAGTTCACTTATGTAAAAGCAAACTGATAAAGGCACACATTTAAATGGACTTTTTGTACACCGCTTATATTTTCACTTTCAAAAAGCTTTTGCAGAATATAAGAGTAATCAGAAAACATACAAAACAAGCACATAATTTAAATGCATGTCTAGCTGATGAACTAAAAGAATATGAGCTTCACATTTTTAAATATTTTGGGGGTTTAGATTTACACAGATTTTGTTTTTATTAACTATTTTGGAAAGACTAAAATAGAATCCATCCTGACAAAACTTTGGCACAACTTAAAATAATCTGTAGAAGCCTCCACTGGTATCCTTAAAAACTGTGGCATGTTGTAGTTGCATTAGCTTAACTTGATTGGTAGATGGCAATGAACAATGAGCAATTTATCACTGTTGACAGAATTCACCTGAAATTTACCCTCAAAGTAATCATTCACTCACAGCATAAAATCTCACCAGCCATAGTTATCCGGAAAATTCTGTTGCATACCTAAATCTACGCCACCTCAGAAAATGAAGACTGTCAGGAATGCCAACTTTTAGTTCATGTTTTAACAAATTAACGATTACAGTTTTGCCTCATTTCTTGTTGCACGAGGATCTGCTGGGAGAAGGGAGAGCACATGACAGCAATGCAAGTGAGTGACACAGCACTGTCTACTACTGTGGAAAAGTTAACTAATGCAAACGTTAATTAACTATGTACCA